ATAATATTTTTTCTTTTGGAGAAAGACTTATGTTTTATTTCGGCTAGAATAAAAAGCGGTTTAATTTTTTTTATGAACCATTTTAAGGTCAAAATGATTAGCCCCTTAAGTCTTCAGAACAAACCATTGTTATAAAATAACTTGCCTAATTACTTTAACTTGACTAGTTAACTTGATTAACCTAGTTAAGCCTTTAAATGTCACTTTAAGCTGTATAGAAGTGTCTTAAAAATATCTAGTCAAATATTATTTACTGTCATCATGACAAAGATAAAATAAATCAGTTATTAGAAATGAGTTACTAAAACTAATATGTTTAGAAATGTGTGGAAAAAATGTTTAACTCTCCGTTAAACAGAAATTGGGGAAAAAATAAACGGTGGCTAATAATTTAGGGGGGCTAACAATTCTGACTTCAACTGTATATATATATCATGTCATATATATATATCATGTATATATATATCATGTCATATCAGACATATATATATATGTCTGTGTGATGTATGTAAAATTTGGCCCGCGACAACGTTTGTTTTTTTGCATCTGGCCCTCGGCCCAAAAAGTTTGGACACTCCTGCAGTACACCTATGAACATTTACAGTCTTTGTTCTAGTGCAGTTTGAGATCAAGACAGAACTTATTGCATCTCGTGATGTTTTTGTAAGGCATCACTAAATTTGTTAAGGTTTAATGCAGCTAGAAAGTAAAGATCAACTAGAGAATATCAGCAGTGTCTAACCCACTGTTGTATTTACAGAAGTTTTATGAGAATAAGCTACAGGTTGATTTATACTAATCTGTTATTTTTCTTTTTTAGCACGACTGACTGAAGTTTTAAAATCATGCAACGTCATAAAGCAGCAGCTGGGCCTGATTCTCACAAAACCAAAACAGACGTGATGAAATTCCAGATGTAAACACATTTGACCTTCCTTTGGCCAATTGGATTTGGAAAAGCTTGAAAATCAACTAAAGGAGCAGCCTGAACAAATGAAGAAACTGGTAAGTTCAAGCTCTTGCTAATTTCAAAGTGTTTTAAGTTTATTTGTTTTTTTTTATTGTTTTTTTTTTTGCTTCGTAGGTAGCCTACTTTTTTCCTAATTTTTTCTTTTTTTTTTACATTAGTACTTGTTCACTACTAATTATCTGTTTATCTTTTAATCACAGATGGAGTGAGGACAAATGTCCATACCACGCCACTGATAAAGAAGTGGAAAAATGCATTACAAGGTAGCTACAACTTGCCCCTGAGAGGGATGGAGGAAGAAAGAAGAGAAAGCTAATGTGTCAAATGTCTACATCACTATTTTGTTTTAATTTTTAAACAACATTTTAAGTGTATTAGGATGTTCCCTGATACTTGAACAATTTGTTTCTTTCATTTGCATTTATATATATATATATGTATATGTATATATATATGTGCGTGTGTGTATATATGTATGGAATGTATGTATGTATGTGTGTGCGCCAAATTGTAAAGAAACATCTTGATACATTTTTAATAAACGTAATACAAATAAAATTATAAATATAAAATTGCACAAGACGTGTATATATATGAAATTTATAATCATCTCACTCATGTCTTGCTGTTTGTGCAATTGATTTTGTTCTGCAATTATTTATATATATATATATATATATATATATATATATATATATATATATTTGTTTGTTTATTATTATTTTAATGTTTTATTAAAAAATGTTTCAAGATGTTTCTTCAGAATTCTGCAGTACTTTTTACAAGTTTGACTTGGATATTTTACGGATTGTCATTGGTATTTTTAAGATGTTTCTTGCTATATCTTAAATTGGTTTCTATATTTAGGTTTATATAAAATTTAGCTGTTTTTTTTACAAATTTTTAATTCAAGTCTATTGGGAAAACAGGGTTGTTTTAAAAAACATCTGTGTTTGTGTGTAATTTTTAGATTTTTTTGTTTAAATCTTTCTGTGTGTCTTTATTGTGTTGTTTTATTGTTGTTTTTATATTGATATTCTTGTGCACTACAAAATTATTTATAAAATTTTAGTACTATTTTTTTCATGCAATCAATAAACGTTTAACATTTATTTATTTTGTCATTTGTCTTGATTATTTTCGTTACAGAATATGTATGCAGTTTGCACTTCATTCAAAGGTTAAACGCAGTGCTTACACTTTGTGTTTACATTATAGTCTGTGTTTGCTGTTATATAAATTCAAATGGTTGTAATACCATATATCAAGTACCAATGTAATACCAAAAGGTTTTATAAGGTGTATAAATACGGAGTCGCGCCAGCTCCGGGCCGCAGCGCACATTACCCTAGCGCCGATTCCGGCGCGGATGCGCAGCGTCGGCTCGCTTACGGCCGCCGCATCTGGCCCGCTTGATTCGGGCCGGAATCGGGCAGTGAGTCCACAGGCATCCGGCCCGAGTCCGGCAGCCGAAGTTGGGCCGAGGGGTTAGTCTCCGGCAGGCGACAATCTAGCCGGAACTGGCCCGAGTGTATTTTGCTATCTGGGTCTCATCAGCCCGGCTAGCTCAGTCGGTAGAGCATGAGACTCTTAATCTCAGGGTCGTGGGTTGGGCCCCACGTTGGGCGTTTCTGTTACTTTTCTCTCTCTCTCCCAACAAACTTACATAAGGTTTAATGTAGCAGACTTTGAGACAAAGTTACGCGTTTCTACCACTGTAGGTGACTTTTCACTAAGTCTCTGTGGCGCAATCGGTTAGCGCGTTCGGCTGTTAACTGAAAGGTTGGTGGTTCAAGCCCACCCAGGGACGAATTAGGCATTTTGCTGCCTTGCAACTGCTAACACGTGCACTGGACATAGATCCTGGGCCACATTCTGTCCAGCGTTACAAGATGAAATCAGGATTTAGCAGAAGATTGTCACGGGTAGGGAAGGTATTACTGTAAACGGTTTCTGGTTCCTAAAAGAGCTTCTCATCAGCCCGGCTAGCTCAGTCGGTAGAGCATGAGACTCTTAATCTCAGGGTCGTGGGTTCGAGCCCCATGTTGGGCGTTTCTGTTACTTTTCTCTCTCTCTCCCAACAAACTTACATAAGGTTTAATGTAGCAGACTTTGAGACAAAGTTACGCGTTTCTACCACTGTAGGTGACTTTTCACTAAGTCTCTTTGGCGCAATCGGTTAGCGCGTTCGGCTGTTAACTGAAAGGTTGGTGGTTGAAGCCCACCCAGGGACGAATTAGGCATTTTGCTGCCTTGCAACTGCTAACATGTGCACTGGACATAGATCCTGGGCCACATTCTGTCCAGCGTTACAAGATGAAATCAGGATTTAGCAGAATATTGTCACGGGTAGGGAAGGTATTGCTGTAAACAGTTTTTAGATCTTGAAAGATGTTCTCAACAGCCCGGCTAGCTCAGTCGGTAGAGCATGAGACTCTTAATCTCAGGGTCGTGGGTTCGAGCCCCACGTTGGGCGTTTCTGTTACTTTTCTCTCTCTCTCTCAGCAAACTTACATTAGGGTTCATATAGCAGACCTTTTGAGACAAAGTTACGCGTAGGTGATTTTTCACTAAGTCTCTGTGGCGCAATCGGTTAGCGCATTCGGCTGTTAACTGAAAGGTTGGTGGTTCAAGCCCACCCAGGGACGAATTAGGCATTTTGCTGCCTTGCAACTGCTAACATGTGCACTGGACATAGATCCTGGGCCACATTCTGTCCAGCGTTACAAGATGAAATTAGGATTTAGCAGAATATTGTCACGGGTAGGGAAGGTATTACTGTTAACAGTGTCTAGTTCTAGCGAGGACTCCTCATCCACCTGGCTAGCTCAGTCGGTAGAGGATGAGACTCTTAATCTCAGCGTCGTGGGTTAGAGCACCACGTTGGGCGTTTCTGTTATTTTTCTCTCTCTCTCCCAGCAAACTTACATTAGGGTTCATGTAGCAGACTTTGAGACAAAGTTCCGCGTTTCTACCACTGTAGTTGACCTTTCACTAAGTCTCTGTGGCGCAATCGGTTAGCGCGTTCGGCTGTTAACTGAAAGGTTGGTGGTTGAAGCCCACCCAGGGACGAATTAGGCATTTTGCTGCCTTGCAACTGCTAAACCGTGCTCTGGGCATATATCCTGGGCCACATTCTGTCCAGCGTTACAAGATGAAATTAGGATTTAGCAGAACATTGTCACGGGTAGGGAAGGTATTACTGTAAACAGTGTTTAGCTCTTAAAAGTTCATCTCATCAGCCCGGCTAGCTCAGTCGGTAGAGCATGAGACTCTTAATGTCAGGGTAGTGGGTTCGAGCTCCACGTTGGGTGTTCCTGTTATTTTTCTGTCTCTCTCCCAGCAAACTTACATTAGGGTTCATATAGCAGACCTTTTGAGAGAAAAGTTCCGCGTTTCTACCATTGTAGGTGACTTTTCACTAAGTCTCTGTGGCACAATCGGTTAGCGCGTTCGGCTGTTAACTGAAAGGTTGGTGGTTCAAGCCCATCCAGGGACGGATCAATCATTTTGCTGCCTTGCAACTGCTAACACGTGCACTGGACAAAGATCCTGGGCCACATTCTGTCCAGCGTTACAAGATGAAATTAGGATTTAGCAGAACATTGTCATGGGTAGGGAAGGTATCACTGTTAACAGTGTCTAGACAAAGTTCCGCATTTCTATCACTGTAGGTGACCATTCCCTAAGTCTCTGTGGCAACGTTATGAAGCTGCAGGCCCCGAGACTCAACCACACGCTCAGACCTGCTCGCTCAGACCAGCACTTCCAGACCTATAATTTCCCAGACAGTGCCACCTGCTGTTGGAAAAATTGCCTAACCTGAATTCATTGATTTATAAATTTTAAATTACACTATTTTTCTACTATAAAATATTGCACTATAATTGAATACACTATTATAAAAAATATTAAACATACTAGATTATGATTTAATGCATTAAGTCTGTTGTATTTTAATTAACTGTATTTGTAAATAGATATTGTTCAGTTACTTAAATATTTTCAGTCATTTATTGTTTTTGTTGTTTTTTGTTTTTAAATCATTAAGGATTTATCAAACTCTTTAGTATTGAGTTGAGGGAATGAACATTATCTTATTATTCACAGAATAAATGATAGTACTCTGAGTAATTTTCTCACACCAAACTTTATTTTTTTATAAATTTTCATGAGGTCCTACAAGTCATCGAGCTGTAAAAAAATGCAGAGAAAAATTGTGAAAAACAATACTTGGATTAATAATGTATTTATTACATATAAAATGCTTTACACTCTTGTTGGGGAGATTTTTCATTTCTCGAGCAATTCTTCTGTTAAATTCCTCAACTTCACTAAAAAAATAAATAAATGCTGTTGTCAGAAATTGTGTTTAACATAAAAACTTAACAGCTTTTGTACAAAAAAATGTAAACATACCTTGCGTGATAAATGGGGCCCTGGAGGAAGACATCTTCAGCCTCCTGCCAAGACAAGCCTTGTAACTCGGAAATGCCATGAGTTATGGCCTGTACAAACATACAGATAAACCAATTAATAAAATAAAACACACACTGCAGAACATAAGCATGCTCATGTACATACATGTTTTGTGATTACCTCTGGGAGGAGACATCCACAAATGAACTCCACCTCATCATTGAAGGTCAGCTGTGTTTTGGTTTTATTAAGAATTCTTCTGATGTAGTCACAAATGATTGACTGGGACTGCTCATTCTCAATGTAGACAGGCACTTGAGAACGGGGTTTTAGTGGAAACCAATTTGACCTTTTCCCACCGAGTATATCCTTTGGGCCATAGAAGGAAATTATATTTCATATGTAAATGCACAAGTAATTAATTATATTTGGCAAATAATAGTTAAATTGTCACTTGACTATATTTAAGTCAACCATACTCAGAGTCTAGAGGAGTAATTTAAAGTGGAACCATCTATACCACCAAATGCTGCTCTGCTGATTTTGATGTGATAATCAAGTCCACTAATCTTTTGTCATTTCTTTCCCGATCTTGAACTGCTTGGACATGTGCCGGAAGATTGGATGTGGTTTTTCTTTTCACCCTAAAAAGGAGCAGAATCTTTCCATCCAAGACACTTCTTGCCTCCTCAGTCCAGAAAGCAAATCTGTGCCCATAGCTTTTAATAACAAGACAAGACAAAATCCATAATTACTGTGTAACATGGAGACTGACACGGAGGGATCCATTATGCAGTATTTATTAATCACAACTTCACTCAAACACACAATATGCACCGGAGTGCACACACACATCCACAGTAGTAGTATGGGTATCAAGACTGATGATGAACAGACACAGAGTGAGTTACCAGGCATGAGTGGAAGGGAGTGAGCGAGAACCAGGATCCGTTATGCAGGCTTGGGTCAAGGGCAGGCAGCAAGGATCAGAGTCCGTATAACAGGCGTGGTTCGTGGGCAGGCAGAGAGAGAGTCAGAGTCCGTATAACAAGCGTGGGTCGTGGGCAGGCAGAAGGCGAAGCAAAGTAAGAGACAGGCTGGAGTCGTGCACAGGAGATCAGGCTGGAGATAATGCTCAGAAAATGCTGGCCGGGGCTAAACAAGACTTCGCCCTGAACGAGTGTTTGAGTGCGGCTTATAAGAGGTACATGGGTCATTAGCCAGATTCCAATCAGGTGCTAATGCTAAAAGTCCGGAGATGGTGGCCTCTGCTGGCCAGCGAGGGGAGTTACTGGGACCGAGTCGGTGACAGAGCCCCCCCCCCCCCCCCCAACGAAAGGCTCCTGAAGTGAGAAGACTCTCGACGCTGGGGTCTTCCACGGGGGCGAGGGGCCGGCATATCCGGGTGTAGCAAGTGGAAATCATCCAACAGAGTTGAGTCAAGAATGTTCTTGCGATTGATCCATGATCTTTCCTCCGGACCGTACCCCTCCCAGTCGATGAGGTATTGTAACTGACCACCCCGGCGTCTGGATCTCAGGATCTCATGGATCTGATAGGCCTCTTCTCCGTCGATCATGAGAGGCGGGGGACCCTGTTCACCGGCTGCCACCTCCCTATCCACCTCGGCTGGACCAACAGCAGGCTGGGACTGAGCTTCTTGCAGGGTAGTTTAAGGCGGAGGTCTCGGGCTGATAACCAAACCCACTGTCCTGGGGAATACGTGGGACCAGGACGACGGTGACGGTCGGCTTGTTCTTTGACCCTTCTGATGGCGTGTGCTAGGTGGGTGTAAGCTGCGTTCCATACCTTCTCACACTTCTTAAACCAGGTGTCGACTGCGGGGAATTCTGTGGTCTCACCTGACCAGGGGAATAGAGGAGGTTGGAAGCCAAGTACGCACTGGAAGGGAGTTAGACCCGTAGATGCCTTTCTTAATGAGTTCTGGGCATACTCAGCCCACATCAGAAATTTGTTCCATTCAGTTTGATTAGCATGACAATAGGTGCGGAGGAAACGTCCGATCTCTTGATTGAGACGTTCGGTTTGTCCATTGGACTGAGGGTGATAGCCTGATGTCAAACTGACATTAACTTGGAGGTTCTTAAAGAATGCAGACCATAAACGGGACGTGAACTGGGACCCTCTGTCAGAAACAATGTCTTCAGGAAGACCATAGTAACGAAATACATATTCGCATAATAGTTCTGCTGTCTCCAGAGCTGTGGGCAACTTGGCTATGGCGATGAGTCGACAGGCTTTTGAAAATCGATCCACAACAGTGAGTATGGTGGTATTACCCTGTGACTGAGGTAAATCAGTGATGAAGTCGATGGCTATGTGTGACCATTGGCGACGTGGAATCGCTAAGGGTTGAAGGAGACCAGCTGGACGATGACGTGAATGTTTGGCCATTTGACAAGGAGCACACTTGTTAAGGAAGCTGATTACGTCTTTGTTGATGGATGGCCACCAATAGCGAGATTGGATCAGTTGTACTGTTGCTGTACTGCCTGGATGACCGGAACTGGGATGAGTATGCACTTCAGTAATGAGTTTATCACGGAGCAATGCGGGGACATAGATTTTGTTCTCGGGACATGCCTGCGGCGTGGGATGTTGTTCAGAAGCCTGGATAATTTCATGTTCAATATCCCATTGTATTGGGGCAATGATAAGAGGGTCCTTCAGAATAGGTTCGACATCCTCTGTCAGAGTCTCTTCGTCCGAAAGTCGAGAGAGAGCGTCCGCCTTGACATTCTTTGATCCAGGGATATAGGTGACTTGGAAGTCGAAGCGAGTAAAGAAAAGTGCCCATCTAGCTTGTCTGGGATTTAAGCGTTTGCAAGAACGAATGTACTCCAGATTCTTATGATCGGTGATGACAGTAAATGGGTGTTTAGCTCCCTCTAGCCAATGTCTCCACTCTTCTAGAGCAGCCTTCATAGCGAGGAGTTCGCGGTTACCCACGTCATAATTTCTCTCAGCAGGATTGAGTTTCCGGAAGTAGAATGCACAGGGATGGAGTTTGTTGGTGGTTAACGACCTCTGAGACAGAATGGCTCTGATACCAGAGTTAGATGCGTCAATCTCTACCACAAAAGGTTGATTGGGGTCCGGATGATTTAGGATGGGAGCACTTGAAAAGTGGTCTTTGAGCTGGTTGAATGCTTGAATGGCCTCTGAGTTCCACTTTAAGCGAGCGTTGTTTGCTTTTACCATGGTTGTAAGGGGAGCTGCTACTGTGCTGAAGTTCTGGATGAATCTCCGGTAGAAGTTAGCGAAACCCAGGAAACGTTGTAATTGTCTGATAGTTTCAGGTTGTGGCCATTGTGTGACGGAGTCAACTTTCTTCTGGTCCATGGCGACTCCCTCGGGACTGATAATATAGCCCAGGAATGAAATGCATGACTGATGGAACTCACATTTAGAAATCTTGGCATATAGCTGGTTCTGGATAAGGCATTTTAGTACTGCTCTGACGTGCTGGATATGTTCCGGTAGGGAGTTGGAGTAAATAAGGATATCGTCAATGTAAACGATGACCCACTGGTTGAGCATGTCTCTAAATATCTCATTGATGAAAGCCTGGAACACGGAAGGACTGTTAGCTAGGCCAAAGGGCATAACCCGGTATTCATAGTGCCCATTGATAGTGGAGAACCCAGTTTTCCACTCGTCTCTCTGACGAATACGGATGAGGTTGTATGCACTGCGGAGATCCAACTTAGTGAAGTACTGGGCTGAGCGGAGTTGTTCAAGTGCTGCTGGAACTAGTGGTAAGGGATATCGATACTTCACTGTGATTTCATTGAGTCCTCTGTAATCACTGCATGGACGTAAACTGCCGTCCTTTTTCTTGACGAAGAAAAATCCAGCTGAAGCAGGTGACGTCGATGGTCTTATGAAACCCTTTTCTAGTTCCTCTGAGATGTAGGTGTTCATAGCTTCGGTCTCTGGTTGAGAGAGGGGAAAGATTCTACCACAAGGGGGCGTGGTACCCGATAATAGTTCAATGGCACAATCATACTCACGATGAGGTGGAAGTTTAGTGGCTTTTTGCTTGTTAAAAGCTTTGAGTAGATTGTGATAAGCCTCAGGAACTTGACAAATCTCAGAGTCATCGATACTGGTTATAGTGTTGATCTGGACAGGGGAAACAGAATGCAGACATTGGGTAACACAATAATCGCTCCATCTAGTAATCTCACCAGTTTTCCAGGAAACTTGAGGGTCATGGAGTTTTAACCAGGGAAGTCTGAAAATGATAGTATGTCGTGGAGAATTAATTGCGAGGAGGGACATCTTTTCTACATGGAGAGAGCCTGTTTGAAGAGTTATTTGTTGAGTTCGGAATTTTATGTGTCCTTACCCTAGGGGGCGCCCGTCTATAGCAGTGATGGCTAAAGAAGAATCACAAGAGGTTAGAGGAATGGAGTGTGTTGAGGCAAACGTGTAGACAATAAAGTTGCCAGCGGCTCCTGAGTCGACCATGGCTGTCGTTGAAATTTCAACATCTCCATATTTTAAACAGACAGGTAAACTCATAATATCATTGGTAGTCGTGAATACGGTGGTAGCACTCACCGGAAGAGCCTTAGGGGGCGGTTTGTTGGGACACAGGATCTTCGTGTGTCCTGAATCTCCGTAATATAGGCACAGATGGTTTCTCCTCCGTCGTTCACGCTCCTCGGGCGTTAGGCGGGTTCTCCCCAATTGCATGGGTTCAGTGACAGGTTCAGGGGACACAGGACTGGAAGCGGGAGAGCATAGAGGGTTACGTGTACGAAGTAACGTGTCTAACCTGATTGAGAGTTCAATGAGTTGATCCAATGTTTTCCCCTCATCACGACGAGCCATCTCCTTTTGCAATTCGGGTCGCAGAGCTCTTCGGTAAAGTGTAGTGAGTGGATCATCAGCCCAGCCTGCTTGCGCTGCCAGTGTGCGAAACTGTAGAGAGAATACAGCTGCGGGTCGATCTCCCTGTTGTAAACACAGAAGCTCTTCACCAGCATTACGACCACCCTCGGGATGGTCAAACACAGTGCAAAATCTTTTGAGAAAGTCATTGAAAGAGGGGAATATCGGGGTGCTGTCTGGCCATACAGCAGTAGCCCAGTCTAGAGCTTTTCCTGTTAGCAGTGAACATACAAAGGCAATCTTCCCGTTCTCATCTTTAAACAAATGAGGTTGCTGGGCAATAAATAGTTTGCACTGTAGTAAGAAACCCTTGCTGGGTTACCTGAGAACTTGTCGGGGAGTGCCAGACGAACACCAGAAGCAACCTGGGTCTGTGTCACAGAGGGTTGAGCGGGAGAGTAACTGGCGGTGAGTTGCGCGGTGGGAGCAGCTTGCAGGTTTTGCAGCGATTTCACCAGTTCATCTGTCAACTGAGTTAGGTGTGTTAATTGTTGCTGATGTGTGGTCAATACCTGAGCTTGCGTTGTGATCTCGTGAGACAAAACCTGTATGGCTGCGGGATCCATGTTGGGTGAAGTCTTCTGTAACAAGGAGACTGACACGGAGGGATCCATTATGCAGTATTTATTAATCACAACTTCACTCAAACACACAATATGCACCGGAGTGCACACACACATCCACAGTAGTAGTATGGGTATCAAGACTGATGATGAACAGACACAGAGTGAGTTACCAGGCATGAGTGGAAGGGAGTGAGCGAGAACCAGGATCCGTTATGCAGGCTTGGGTCAAGGGCAGGCAGCAAGGATCAGAGTCCGTATAACAGGCGTGGTTCGTGGGCAGGCAGAGAGAGAGTCAGAGTCCGTATAACAAGCGTGGGTCGTGGGCAGGCAGAAGGCGAAGCAAAGTAAGAGACAGGCTGGAGTCGTGCACAGGAGATCAGGCTAGAGATAATGCTCAGAAATGCTGGCCGAGGCTAAACAAGACTTCGCCTTGAATGAGTGTTTGAGTGCGGCTTATAAGAGGTACGTGGGTCATTAGCCAGATTCCAATCAGGTGTATGCGCAATCAGTGTAGATGGATGACGTAATGCTAAAAGTCCGGAGATGGTGGCCTCTGCTGGCCAGCGAGGGGAGTTACTGGGACCGAGTTGGTGACATACTGGTCACCGGTAAGAGAGATTTTAAGTATGTTTTGTTATTCATGTTACAAGTTGTTGTATTGACACAATATAAATTTTTAATTTGACAGATTTACAAGAAAAATAAATAAATACTGACATACCCATCAATTTGAAATCGTTCCATGAGTAGAAGGCACCACCACTGACGGATGATAGGTATATCCATCTGAAAGAAAGACTGTTTAGTCTGACAGTTAACCAACATGTTTTTGTTAATACATGATGTTGGGTGTGCTTGCAATAACCTTGCCCCTTTTTTTAAAAGATATGTTGCTTAGAAGAAAGCAAGATAATATACACTAAAATAGTTACATTTTAGCTATGATTAAAAAAAGCACCAACAAAATAAAGTTACATAAATAATAAAATAATACCTCCTGGAGTTGAAACCCAATGCCACACACCATTGAGAGGGTGTACTGAAAAGAGAGAAGCCACAGTCATTTACAATGTTTACAAAATCTTTAAATCAATTAACTCAATTTATATCTTACCATGAGAACAAAAACACCACAATCATTCCCTCTTGTCTGACGTGGCAAAGCCTAAAATAGGCAAAGCAAATCAATTTTATTTTAGAATAATGTAGAAAAATTTTTATTGTTGTAAAAGCCAAATAATATATATTTTTTAAGTTGATTCCTCACTGGAAAATCATATCCATTCTTTTCAGTCCATGTCCCATGATCCACTTGCTAAGCAATTTTCCTGTAAACAAAATATAGTAGTAATACTAACAATTACAACTCTAGAACACCATGCATAAAAAAGGCTAGATGAACATAGCCAGAAGTTCAAGAAATGGCTATAGGAACGTAGCCAAAAGTGGCAGAACTATAATACACGGTTAGGAAATAAATAGAAATGGCTATAGGAACGTAGCCATATATCACATAAAGGCTGAAACATGTCTTAGTTTACTGATAGACCTAAAAATTGCCCTGTATTCCTCATCTCCAAATCCTGATTCATGCTCTGCGTACAGAGAGTCTAAAAACACCATCTCTCTTCGAAGCGGCATCATTATCTACAATGTTAAAGGTGTAAAAATATTTCATTTGAACATTATTGCTTCTTCCAAGATTTTTCAGTGTTTTATTTTAGAAACACACACATTGCAATACCAATTAATGTATGCACTAGACATTTCAATATTTTCTTACACAGACAACAAAGTGGTCTGGTCCATTGGCATTTGTCCATGCTGGAAAGGCTAACAGGTCTTTCAAGTCTGCATCTTCCTGAAATTGATCAGGACAGTTATGTCGTTTAATTTAGGTTGTACTTCTCACACAGTGAATACAGTACATACACGCACCGGTAATCCAGTAACAATGTTGTTAGGAGTTTCTTTCCACACAGGGACAACATAAAAGTCCTCAATGTATATGTCCTTGCCCTACATGAATAAAAAGAAACTGTTGACAATGACATGAACATTTTCACACAGTTTAGAAATTGTTTTTTTTTTTTAAATTTGGATCAAGTTAAAACAATCTATATAAATATTATGTTTTATAGTACATACAATTTGTCGAGCCATTTCACAAATAAGCTTCATGCAGGCGTTTCCAATCTGCAATAAATACTTTGATAAGTCAATGTTTTTAATAAAAAAAAGTTATAATAAAAAAACAGACTGCTTACATGGGAGTCCATGTCCCTCAACAATCCAAGGCTCCAAAATTCTTCTCGAATAAGGCACACTTGCCCCTCCTTCACAATTATTTCACTGCCAGGGCGATTTCGGTCCAGCACATAATCAAGCTGTAATAATAATAACAATAAATATGTGTGTGTGTGTGTGTGTGCGTTTGTATGTAATGGTAATTGTTCACCAGTTTCTCTTGTAATGGATGCCAGTCCCTCTCCCAAGGCTTAGTAGGTTCCAAAAAATTCAGAAGAGTGGTAGGTTCACAAGCTGTTTTTTCTGTAATTGATACTGATGACAGAGAAGATGTGACTGATGTTATGCCTGGTGATGCAGTGGTCGTTTGTAAAGTCACAATATTTTCTGGCAGTGCTGTCAGTGGTCCTTAGAGTACATTAAAGCATCAAAATTAGAAAATAACACATAATAATTAGTGAACAGAAACTTGACACTGAGCAACTGGAAAGAACAGTCAAATTACCAAGTGACATGTCCCTGCATTTCTCTGTGGAGGATGGATTTTCTATAAATGCAAATATACACGTAAGTACAGTTATGGATATAGTGATGTATTTGTTACAAAGTAAGGGAAACATTACCTTACACAACCTGGCTGTGGTCATTCATGTGAATGTTTGTGTTGAATTCCTTTTTTATGTCATGAAGATGTTTCTCGTTTTTTCTGACATTGTAATGGTGGATGATGTTTCACATGAGGAAAACATGTGTGGATGGCAATGCCATGTTCAAGTAGTTATTTTTCTTTAGCTTTGAAAAAAGCAGTTCTGCAGCCTGACTGTTAACTTTGCCAGCTAGTTGAGGCACAAGACGAAGCTTCCTCAGTGAATCACGAGGATTTTTTGTGTTGTCTTCGTGAAAGCGGTCATACAGAACATAGTGTTCTGCAGAACCAGTTATTGGATGACCATGCGGATCTGGACTTTGCTTTTTTGCAGTGAGCCATGGCAGAGTTACCTGTAATTTTCCTGATTTTGCTTTTGCAATATTTTCAGTGGTTGGTTCAAGTAACCTTCCCTCGAAAGGTGTAAAAGTTATGGGTTTCCTCAAATTTGTGTGGGTGGACAGTCCACGGGCAAAGTCATAAATAACAATATTAGGCAGATGCTTCCAAGACAGAAGCATATCTGAAAATCCCATGGACTTTCTGCTCGCAGATTACATTTTATACTGTAAACTATGCCACAAGGACACATGATGACAGCCCAACCTCCTGGAACAGACAAAAAAGATAAGCAAATAGTTAAGAAAACATAATCAAATCCCATTAATGACATTGGGACTTAAATGACCATAGGTTATGATGGAGGGCAGTGGCATTAACCTTAACAAAGTATACTTTTAAAAAATTTAAAGATGCAGTGCCTCAGAGATGTAAATACACTCCCCTACACGGAAAGCAACAATACACCCTGGTGTCAGACAAGGCCACCTCCAACACCCCCCAGAGCTGTACACCACCAGTCACTCCCCAATCAGTGCCAAGCAGAAAACAGGACCCATAATGTCTATGTGACTTTGTACATTTCTGATTTATTTGTAATATTTTAATGTGCAACATTGAGGTTTACCTGAAGCAGCCCAAATCTTTTCAAAAACCTTGTCATGGGCCTCCCTTGACCTCATCTCCTCCGAAAGTCGCAGGAGTAGATCTGTGCGAGAGCCTTTGGCATCTAAACCACACTCTTGACACAGTCTTCTTATCACTCCCACCTATCACATAAAACACACATGTTAAATGAAATGCCAACACTGACAAATAATACATATAATTAGCATTAAATATTTTACTTTCTGTTTTGAAAGTTTGTCCTTTAAGCGATCTTCAGAGACAGTTATTTCTGTTCGTTCTGCAGTTTTTGCTTTGTGCACTTTCTCAAATTCAGTGTTGAGAACAACATTCGCTATGCGAGTCTTACTCCCGATCCAGGGTGCCCAAAAGTTGTAACTAGGTGTAACACAAAATGGATTGTTTTTTTTTACCTTTAGGACAAACAAACATGTTAGTACATCAGTGAATTTAGATTGTACTCCTGAAAACACTTATGAAATTAAATAATGATGACATGCCATTCCTGATATAATAAATTTCCTTATTTGAAAAAAATCCTCGAGCAATTCGTTCTTTTGTCAGTGCCTTCCAAAACATATCTAAATCCACCTCTCCATTAAAATCTTGTGGAGGCTGTGAAAGATCACTCACTAAAGAAAATAAATACTTACTATAAACTTACTAATAGTTTTACTAATAAGACTTACCTCTCCGCAGTAAAAAGGAAAGATATTTACCAGAGAGATGAAAGGATGCCTTCTTGTGGAGGTCCATTATGACCACAGGTGGATGGTCACCACAAGATACACATGAATACTCGTATTCATGGTCAGTTAGGGCCTCAAAATACAGATAGCCGTGGAGAAGGGAAGGCAAGGCAAGGCAAGTTTATTTATATAGCACATTTCATACACAATGGCAATTCAAAGTGCTTTACATAAACAAGAATAAAAGAAACAAGTAAAATAAAAATAAAAACAAATAATAAAAATGCGTAAAAACAAAACAAAACATAAAAACAGGTAAAATGTGATATGAAAGAATGAAGAAGAAGAGAAAAACATGATTGTGCAATCTGTCGGACGCAGCACAGTGCTCATTCAGTAAAGGCACAGCTAAACAGATGTGTTTTCAGTCTTGATTTGAATGTGCCTAATGTTGGAGCACATCTGATCATTTCTGGAAGCTGATTCCAGCAGCGAGGGGCATAGTGGCTAAAAGCCGATTCACCCTGCTTTGACTGAACTCTTGGAACTTCTAGTTTATATGATCCTAATGATCTGAGTGATCTGTTAGGTTTGTATTCAGTGAGCATATCTGTATTTAGGTCCTAGGCCATTTAGTGATTTATAGACCAGTAATAATACTTTAAAATCTATTCTGAATGTAACTGGCAGCCAGTGTAAAGACCTGAGGACAGGTGTGATGTGCTCTGATTTTCTGGTTCTGGTCAGAATTCTGGCTGCAGCGTTCTGGATGAGCTGCAACTGTCTGACTGTCTTTTTAGGAAGACCAGTGAGGAGTCCATTATAGTAATCCACCCTGCTGCTGATAAAAGCATGAACAAGTTTTTCTAAATCTTAACTAGAAACAAAGCATCTGATTCTTGCTATGTTTTTGAGATGATAGTATGCTGATTTACTGACTGCTTTGACATGACTGTTGAAACTCAGATCTGACTCAAGAGTCACACCAAGATTCTTGACCTTATTTTTTGTCGTTTGACCTTTAGTGCCATGGTACGCATTTACCTTGAGAACCTCATCTTTGTTTCCGAACACAATCATTTCAGTTTTCTCTTTGTTTAACTGAAGAAAATTTTGGCACATCCAATTGCTCATTTTATCAATGCATTGGCAGAGGGTGTCAATGGGGCTGTAGTCATTAGGCAGTAAGGCTAGGTAGATCTGAGTGTCATCAGCATAGCTGTGGTAGGAGATTTGGTTCTTTCTCATTATTTGGCTCAGAGGGATCATGTAAAGGTTGAACTGGAGAGGTGCCAGAATCAAGCCTTGTGGGACTCCACACGTCATGGGTGTCCACCTCGACCTATGGTCACCTATACTGACATGGTAACCTCTACCTTCAAGGTAAGAACTAAACCATTTGAGGACTGTGCCAGACAGCCCAACCCAGTTTTCCAGCCTATCCAGAAGTATGCTGTGATCGACAGTGTCAAATGCAGCACTGAGATCCAACAATACCAGCACTGTTATTTTACCTGAATCTGTATTTAGGCGTATACCATTGATTATCTTTATAAGAGCGCTCTCTGTACTGTGATGTGCTCTGAAACCAGATTGAAAATTGTCTAAACACCCCCTGAAGTTTAAAAACTTGTTAACCTGATTAAAAACAACTTTTTCAATGATTTTGCCAATGAAAGGGAGATTTGAGATTGGCCTGTAATTGCTCAATAGGGTGTTATCCAGGTTGCTCTTCTTCAAGAGGGGTTTAACAACTGCAGTTTTAAGTGAGTTTGGAAAAATCCCTGAGAGAAGTGAAGCATTTACCACTTTTAGAAGATCCATTTCTAAACAGGTAAACACAGTTTTGAAGAATGATGTGGGGAGCGTGTCAAGACTGCAGGTTGATGTTTTCATAACTTGCACAATTTCTTCTAAGATTTTGCCTTTAATTGCCATGAAATCAGACATAATGTCTGATTTCTTAAGTTGTGGTTGAGCTTGTTTGATATCGACACAGCTTGACTGATTGGATGAGCTGATTGCCTTTCTGATATTATTAATCTTATCAGTGAAGAAATGAGCAAACTCATTACATTTGCTTTCAGAGAGGAGCTCACTTGGAATCCGACTTGGGGGGTGGGGGGTGGGTGTGGTTTGTGAGTCTCTCTATCGTTGCAAAGAGTGTGCGAGCATTATTTAAGTTGCTGTTTATAAGGCTTGAAAAGAAAGACTGTCTAGCAGTGTTTAGTTCCATATTAAAGGCATGAAGACTGTCTTTATAGATATTATAATGGACTACTAGTTTCGTCTTTCTCCACATACGCTCAGCTTTTCTGCACTGTCTTTTCATCATTTGTACTCTAGGTGACCTTGTCCAAGATCCCTTTTGTCTGCCAGTCATCTTCTTGACGTTAACAGGAGTGATGTCATTGATGTCATCCGGACATTTGCTAGGTGTGTGTGTACAATTCAGTTCAGTGGCATACACAGCTGATGGATGATTGAGGGAGAAAAAAATATTGTCCTTTAGCACCTTTGCACCAAGTTTGTTTGGATGAAGGCCGTCTGATGTAAACAGCTGTCTTTGGTTCCAGAAGAGATTGAAGTTGTCGATGAAATTCCGTCCTTTCTTGTTACATGTTTTCTGTAGCCATACATTTAGACCAAGAAGCCGTGAAAACATATTTGTCCCTCTTGCAGGGAGTGGTCCACTTATGAACGGCTGAACCTTCAATCTTTCAGCTGTTTCCAAGAGCTCACAGAAATCTTTCTTGAGCAGTTCTGACTGTTCCTTCCGAATATCATTCTTCCCCACATGGATGATAATCCGTTTTGCAGTACTGTGCTTTTTCAGAATTTCCTCAAGTTCTTTGTTTACATCAGAAACTGTTGCATGAGGAAAGCAGTATGTCATAGTAGATTTGCTACTGAAATTCTTGATTATTGAATCTCCTACGACTAGTGTTCTTATCTCTGTTGCAATCGGAGCAGAATGCCGCTGTCTAGTCGGCCTTGAGCCTCTGTTCCATGCAGAATTAGTTGCTGAATCATGCAATCTCTGTCTGACTGCATTTGGGGATTCTTCACCCATATTACTCAAAACTTCATATCTGTTCTGAAGCTGTATTTGAGTCTGAGCTGTATTTGGGGTAGAAGACGCTAATGCGGCAGCGTATGATCTGACCCCACGAGTACCCTTTGGTCTCGCACCTTGTTTATGCCAATGCTCATTTTCAACAGTTCTTTTCTGTTTTTCTGTGCTCAGAACAGTAGCAGGAACAGATTTATGGGACTCACCGGCTGTGTGCTGAGAGAATCCACAATGAAGTTGTGATTGAATTATATGAAAATATATTGTAACTAAATATATTTTTTAAAATACAGATATAGTATATTAAAAGCACATTTTAATTCAATTTCTGGGTGTCTCAAAATAGCACAGTTGAGTACACTTAGATGGTATTAAGTTTATCTTAACACATACTTAATACTATTTTTTAGTACATTAAGTACAAAATTAGTGTGCGAAAATAGAGCACTTATAGTACATTACTGAAAAGTGTACTAAGTATACTTAAATAAGTGTATTTTAGTGCACTTTTTTTCACCTGGGACTAACATCTGTATTCAAATGAGTTAGTTCCTCTGACTGATCCTCTGAGAACAGTTCTTCAAGGGACAGTTCTGAACACTCGCCCATGTCTTGACTCGACCCCGTTACATTTTCTTCTTTGTCAGCTAATGCGTTTGTGCTTTTTTGACAAATACAACATCAATGACCCTCTGACCATGAAATTTGACTTGTACAGATGCTGACCCATCTCCAAGCAGCACTGCAACAAGTGCATCTGGGTCAGGGGTGCTCTTGTTAGGAATATTTAACAATCTTCTCATTAGAAAATCATCGATCACAAAATGATTCATTATGCCACATTTTTCCTCAATTGTAATATTGCCTCTTAAAGCAGCAACAATTCTCGATGTGTGACAGCAGGAATCACACTGGTGACACCTGGTCACCGATGTTTCCAGATTTACCTTAAATAAGGCATGTCGTTTTGGGCAGAAATATTCCATCTTTACATCAGCTGTTACAATGATGCCCTCCTTCGTCTCAAAGTTCTGTCTTATCTTTATCTTTATGTCTGATCTCCATTGAATTGTCAGCACAAACTGCAATACTACTTTGTGCTGTAGTCGACAGACACTTACAGCCGCCAAATTTCCGCACTGACACATTAGTGAGGGTGTACCATTTTGCAACATTAAGTACTTCCCCAGTCCATACAGTCAGGGACATGCTGTATGTCGCATCGGCAACCTTATAAGACCTGGTCATCATTTTTTGACTACTGCGGGTGTATGCATCTCTGGCTTCATTTAACTGCAGCACCTTGACTTTGATGTTCACCTAAAACAGAAAAACACAACATACTTTTGTTACACAAAACAAAAATTTATAAAGCAACAACATAACCTTACACTAATATCACATTTAAATCATACAATTAATATTACACTACCTACAAATGCAGCAATACGTATAATGAAAGTAGTGTTAGTATTAAAAATTAAATTTTCAATAAAATCTATTTAAAATTGTCAAATTAGGCACTCGATTATAATTGCAGCAATACAAAATAAATAAATTACTATTCACACACTCAAGCTAAACTCTAAAATTTAGCACAGCACTGTTATCTACTACACTGTAAACACAAATATGGGTTTACAGTACTGGTGTAACTCGTTGCCTCAATTTTTAAGTTCATGAACTTAAGTTTTCAAAACAAATATTTTGATTACATGCTACTTAGACCTTTTCATTACAGTTAAATTAAAACTTGTTATTAAACCAATTTAAATATTTTAAGTTACAGTAACTTAAAATTTTGCTTAAAATTTCATGGCATTAAGTTAACATTACATAAAAAAAATAAGTACACAAAGAACCATTTTAAGTTAAATCAACTCAATATTTATTATTGTCTTTGTATTTGTGTTTTAAGTACCAGTAACTTGTATTGTACAAGTAGAATAACATTTAAAAAACAATAATCAAAACTAAATTTGACACTGCAGTGCTAATTTAAAAGGATAAAACCTGAAAAGCAGATTGAAGACCACACCTCTGACATTAAAAATTCACGAACCTGCATGAACTTTTACAAAAACATGAACC